ATTTTTACTTTTTAAGCTTTTTTCATTTTATTTAGTTTTTTTTTTAAAGTCAAGTATCGTAGCCTTTGTCTACAATAAAGGGGAAAAAATCAGGATATCAGAACATCGCATTTATTGTAGGGACCCACTACAATATATATAATACATATTTACAAGTTTCCTCGAAATGAGTTCGATCCTATCATATTAGTTTACGTTGTTCAAGGATTATCTTTTGATCTTTGGTTATAGCACGAACAAATGCATAATGATAACGACGAATCTGATTTCTCACACTGAACTGCTTAGATGTATGCCTTAAAATAGTTAATACATTACGTGCCTGTATATACAAATATGTACCGTCGATTACGAGTATAACTATATTTGGTTTGTCAGTTAATAATTGAGTAGCAAGTGGAGAAGACTGCTTGCTAATGACTTCTTGACGAGAAATATGATTAAAACCAAGATAGTAAGGCACGAAATGCGTTAGCATAGCTTGACGAACAGCAGTAATGGTTCGAGAAACAGCTTTAGGATTTGAAAATTGGAAAATGGTAGTAAGAAATTTGTTGCTAATTCCTAATCTAAGTTTTCTTAAGAAAAGTCCGACTGCATTCCGAAGTGAACGATTAGATGATTGTTTAATGTTGGAATCGACCAGAAACTTGATTAGGTGCTCAAAGTTTAATTTTGTGATTCCAGTAAAATTGTAACAATCAAATTCTGACATTGCAAAAGGAGAATCAAAATAAAAATATCGAATTGAGTTAAAATGATTTCGGAATTTGTCAAACCATGTTAATATATCACTGGAAGAGAAAGATGTTTGGATAATTTCACGCGGACCAATTTTATTTAAATCAGGGTGTGGGTGATCGCCGTATACTCATCGGCAGTCACATCCACACCCTCTGTAGTCACATATAGCTACATTTTTCTAGCTCTTGATGATTACTATTGATGCTGAAAAAATGGCTCCTGTTCTGAATCATATAGTGAAGATCGAAGGTACACATGGTTCACTACATCGTATTTTACCCTATATTGGGGGTACTATGTGCTTCATAAAATATCGAAGGCAGGTTTGTTGCAAGCACTTGTTCGGGCGCTTTTGAAGCTCTAAATAATTGCTATTGATGCTGAGAAAATGGCTCCGGTTCTGAATCATATAGTGAAGATCGAAGGTACACATAGTTCACTATATCGTATTTTAGCCTATATTGGGGGTACCATGTGCTTCATAAAATATCGAAGGCAGGTTTGTTGCAAGCACTTGTTCGGGCACTTTTGAAGCTCTAAAATAATTACTATTGATGCTGAAAAAATGGCTCCGGTTCTGAATCATATAGTGGAGAACGAAGGTACACAAGGTCACTAATATAGGTCACTTAGGGGCTTATCTGGCGGACCACCAAAGGAAGGCAAAAGCTTGACCGATCAAGCTGAAATTTATAGGAGTGACTACAGACTATGAGCCCTACAAATGCTGAAAGTTTCATGAAAAACTGATGATGTTTTCTATGGGGGCCGATAACAACGCAAAACGTCCCCCGTCCTTTAATTCAATTAGTCTTCATTTATTGATAGTGAACTTGTTTCATTTGATTCATTTTGTAATATACTTCATCATTTAAATAAAGTATCTCAATCAACAAAATCAATTCAATCTCGAACAATGAATCGTTATATTCCTTCAATAACATTCGTTATCGTCAACAATTAAATGTACCATCACAAGTTCTTTTACCAATGTCAAATAATGAAGCATCTATTCGTAATCTTCAACCAGTGTTACCTGGTATTGGTGGTTATGGAAGCGGTTCAGAATATAGTCAAACATCATCAATGATGCCTAAATCATCAATAATTAAAAACTCAAGTGGTGTTACAATTCCACTACCACCAGCTTCTTCATCAAAAAATCTACAATCAATACAAATTGTATCAGCTGATTTCAAACAATCAGATGAATATTGATATTTATTACCTAGTGAACAATTATCACATTTCCAACAACAAGAAAGTGATCGAATTCAATTAATTAGTGGTTATTTAATTAATAAAGGTTTTCGTCAAAAACAATAAATATGCTTATTCATAATACTTATTTAGCTTTTTCTTTTGTTAGGTAAGTGAAGAAAACATTCTAGTCAGAAAGGTGTTTGTGTGTTTCTACTAACTTTTATTATTTTTTTTTCCGGTTCGATTTTCTTTCTTGGTATTAACCAGAAAAATATAAATGTGAAAGATTTTGAAACAAGTATCAGCCACAATTTTAATCGGTAAATCTATCATTACTGGTAGACTAAAAAGATGGCTAGAGATTGTTGAACCTAGCCAATGAATTTGAAATTTATGAATAGGAATTTTTATTTTTGTATTAGGATTGTTCTTAACACGAATTTCCTTTTATTCTGCGTAATCATTTTGATTATGTTTTTTCGCAAGAGGCATTGTAATATCTTCCAATGATCATCGTATTTGCAAGAATGTAAATTTTTAGTAGAGCCCGAAACGAGGTGAATTTCTTGCTCCGCATTCTACCCTCACTCTCTGAAGTACGATGAAGTATTAGTGAAGTACCAGTGAAGTACCAGTGAAGTTGCTGATACTTAGCCGTACTTCAGGTTACTGAAGTCTCGCGTTTTTTCCCCCTTGACGAAAGCTCACTTGAAAATCCAGCCATTTGATTTGTTGATATATACCATATCAGAGACTAAAATTCCAGCAAAATGTCTAACTCTGGACAGAATGCCTAAGAAGACTTCTCCTTTTCGGAGTTTGTCATACATAACTGAAGTCTATCTTATAACAACGAAAAAGGGTCCAATTACACCAGTACAAGTATATTGAGAAAAAAAAATCTTTTTTTCTGTATTAAAAAAAAAATATTTGTTTTTCCATAGGCTATTTATGTACCTGCTGATGATTTAACTGATCCAGCTCCAGCTATAACATTTTCTCATTTGGATGCAACAATTGTATTATAACGTGGTATTGTTGAAATGGGTATCTATCCAGTTGTTGATCCATTAGATTCAACATCACATATTCTTGATCCAAATATTGTCGGTGAAGAACATCATTTAGTTGCACGTAGCATTCAAAAAACATTTCAAGTAAATTCAAAATGAGAAAAAAATTCATTGAAGAAAAACGAAAAAAGAAGAAAACGACAACATATTGATTTCAACCTAACGTCTTTTTTTTCTTTCTTTTCTTACGATAAAATACAACTAATAACAATAATTCAGTAACAGAATTTTTATTCGACGAGTTTTCTGAAACATTCGATCCATTTACTGCATCTATGCTTAATAATATCAGTGAATCAACAAACAAATTCTCAATCATCGAGACAAAATTCCAATAGTCAAGTTAATCTTGATTTTGATAGTATTTTACAAGAATTAAAATCTGTTGGTGAAGCACATCAACCAGATCAACAAACAATAATGATTGTAGAAAATATTACAGCTAATATTAAACAAAAATCTCAAATAAATACAAATTCGAATAATACATGTATACTAATTTAAGAGAAACAAATGTAGAAATATTGAAATCGGAAGGAAGGAAGTTGAGTGATCAATCCTTTTTTTGTTTTTTTAATAAAGAAAAATAAATCAGTCAATCAATCTTTTAGACATTAATGAGATAGAGTGAAGAGGAAAGTCTGTGTAGATAAAAGATTAAGTATATCAAAGCGAATAAATGGGTCTAGGACAGTTGGTCGCACCGGGCAGTTGCGCACGGATATTTGCTCACTCGGACGCTTACTCGCTAGGACAGTTGCTCGCTAGGACACTTGGTCGTTAGGACCCTTGCTCACTCGGACACTTGCTCGCTGTGCAGTAGTTATGCACCACTCCCAGTTCTGACTGGTCGACTGGGTATCGACCGATCGGGAGCATATTTAGTGCTTCTGAATCAACACCTACTGATTCTTGTTTTATAATTGCTAAATATCATTTATGTTAAATACCAACCAGACCCAGTCTTTAACCCGTAGACTGATGAACTGGGTATCCAATCTGGTACTCAGTCGAACTGGACTAGTGCACACCTACTGTGTAGGTTTTTACAAGAGTTTTGAATAATATAACGAAATACAATGATACAATACATGAAATTTCTATGTGAGAACGATAATTGTCATAAACTAATTGATTTAATTGTTGCAATATTTCTCGAATTGATGACCCTAATGTAATGACAAGTTGTTTTCAGCGATATATGTAAGTCGCATACACTAATGGAATGACTTCACGATAAGCAATAATGTCAGCTACTCCATCAAAAACTTTTAAAAACGCACATTTAAACGATTTCATCAACTAACAGAAAATTCTTAGGCATACATTTACAAAGAATTAACATGAGTTGGATTTTTGTTGTCTCTATAAAATCTGTATATTTGCTCTCTTATTTATTGTTCAATATTGTATGATATGTGTTATTAGATTTCTGCTGTATTATTGTTCAAATATTGTTGTATTATTCTCTGTTTAAGTTTTCATAACATCATCAATAATGTTTCTTTTTTCTGAAGTACAAATTCTTTTTATTTTATACATTGCGAGTATGTGTCCGAGCGAGCAAATGTCCGCGCGCAAGTGTCCGTGCGCAACTGTCCGTGCGACCAACTGTCCGTTTCTCATTCAAAAGATATAGTACCTGTCACCATCTGCACTTACTAACCCGACCTCAAAATAAGTCAGATTGGTTCCGACAGGATCGGCTTCATCTGTATTGTAGGGTAATGTACACCTTCTTATTTTTGTATTTTCAAAAGTGTATTTCCTGAAATTTCTGAAGCAATTTTTTCAGATCTCTTCTGAAGGTTACATCGAGTCTGTAGAGAGCGTCTGTGTATTGCATAATCGCTCAAAGAGTGAACGAGCTATAGATGTGCATCGTCGCTGTCATGACTAGAACTCGTGAATCGAAATCATACTCTTGATGATACTCAATGAAGTCTTTTAATTCGCACCTGATAATCACTTCAAAACACACCCTGAACATTTATCAAACAATCTCGACGATGATCTCATAAGAATCAAGTTATGACTGATTTTTTTTGCAGAATAGCGCCTGTTGAGTCGGAACCAATCCGATGAAGTCTAGCCAAGGCGCAGTGAACCATATAAAAAGTTGCTTCTGTCACAATAGTCTTCGAAAATCTCCTCCATCACTGTACTGAATTACCACAGTTCGATTGAATCTATCAGATTCACCAAGACTCTGACTGCTGGACTTTTAGATACTTAAATCCGGTGCAAATTCATGCAATTTTACAATGTCCCTAAAAAAGAAGCTACAACGATATTTTTTTAATATCTTCTGTGTCGATGTAGTTAGAAAGAAAGAATGCCATTGACGCCGTCATGGACATCTCGAAAAGAAGCCAGCCAATGTTTACACTAATTAACTTGATAAATTGAAGGAGGAGGAATCGAAACATGAGATAAAAGCTGTTTGTATAATCAAAACCAGTATTGATTCTAGAGCAAAGCGTCGAGAAATAGATATCGTCAAGAAATATTCTCCAAGTCATTTACTTGTGTTGAGATGTTTAACGTAAAAAAGAATAGAATATTAACTATTATATTTTTTTATTATATTATAAATAAAAAAAAAGATTTCCGAATCATAGCAGATGAATTGTGCTAAAATCTAACGATAATTTTTTTTACACTCTACTATATAAAGTAATGAGAATTGTATTCTATCTTTAATCACTAGAGATTAGTTTATGCATTCGTTTTGTAGTTGATTAACCAGTAATTGATAATCTAATCATTCTTCCACATGACTTCAGTTTGGTCATTCATTTATCGATGATATAAAATAAAAAATGTTGTTACAGCTTAACCCTTCTCCGGTTTTCGTGGTTCCGACGAGACCCGCAACGTTGTTTTTTGTTTTTTTCTGGTTGAAGATCTATCCTTTTCGGGCCCATCTCTCCGCTAATCGTTAGTCTTCTAAGGATGTACAAGAGGCATATAAAATTTCCTACAAAAGTCTTATTAGTAAAAAACTGAAGTGTGGGTCTACACGGACCCCCTAAGAACATTGGTGTTATACATATAATTTTTATTCATATTATATCTGCCCTCTATTGTCTAGAGAGTTTATTTATCACAGATTCGTTACTTCAATATGGCCAATAGTAAATCATGTTCTTTTTATCTTTATCTAGCGGATTATTTTATATTTTTGTTGATATATTTCTGCCATCATCTTTGTTCATGGTCACGACAATCATACTCGAGTTTTTCCTGTTGGAAACAACTGGCTTGAAAACTTCAAAAGTTTCTCAAGCACAGAACTCAATATTTTTCTGATTTTTCAGATAAAAAAATGACTTATTTGTCAATTATGTAAAAAAAAATAATTCAACAACACGAAATTGATTCACATAAGTTTACAAGAACAATTAAAACAGTTTTACCGTGATACTGATGTTATTTTATTTTATCGGTTTTTAAAAGTAAAAAATAAACAAGAAAAGGTTATTTTAAGTTTTAATATATAAGTGGCTGTATGTAACCACATTGATTATCCATACTATAGTCATATACATTGTTCATTCGATAATATTTCAAGACTGCAATCTTATCATAATCTCTTCTCAAACTTTTTTTTGGAAAAAGTGCTCGTTTTCATACATCACAACCTTATTAATGTATCCACACTTGGAAAAAAATCATGATCTAGGTTTTCATTCATCATATCTAGCGCAAAATAGACAAAAAATCAAGTTCTCATAACTCATTTATATGTGGGTCCCACTGGACCCACATAATACCTTTTGTGTGATAAAATGAGGATACCGTTCGAGGGTTAAAAATTCACTGAAAAATAATTTTTTTCTCTTTTTAGTCTCATCAGTTAAATACGAACCATCATCATCTGATGATCTATTCGCCTTTCTTTCATCAGATTCTGCATCATCATTACCTAACATAAACACCATGATGCTTTCAACAATTCCTACTCCAACTATAACAACTTTATCTGTTCGTACACCGAAAAAGAAAGGAACTCAAGAGGAAATTCATCACCAAAAATCAAAAAAAGAACCAGGAGGAATAATTAAAGCTAAAATGAATAAAAAAATCAAAAAAGATTCGACACTTAATGGAGAAACATTACAACAAGTTTTAATAAAAACAAATGGTGAATTTGTTGAACCAATGAATATTGTTTTTGCATCATCAGTTAAACCTCAACAATCAACAACATCTTATTCACATATTGCACTAGCAACAAATTAAAAAAACGAATGAATTAACAGCTAGTTGGATGACTACAAATATTTCTCAAACAACAAAAAATGCCCAAGCAGTTGCATTAAAAGCTGTAGCTAGAAATCAAGTAGCTAAAATTAATCAACAACAGCAACAGCAAGCAATGTATACCGGTAAGATTAAAAACTACACCGTATAGATTTATTCACTAAGAATTTTAAAAAACTTATCTTTTCACCAGAAAGCAGTATCCTGCGAATTCACATCAGTAAAACAATCAAGCATTTTTATAGTCACATAGTAATAAGTTGACTAGTGATTCGAAATAAAAGCAGATGAAGAAAATCAGAGAAAAAAAGAAGAACATATTTTCGATCACTGGATAATTCATAGATAGTAGTTAGTTCTTGCGTTCTATCATCTCTCTTTATGTAATCTAGTGATCGAAAATATGTTCTTCTTTTTTTCTCTGATTTTCTTCGTCTGCTTTTACTTCGAATCACCAGTCCATTCGACTAAATCATCATGTATTGAAATATACAGTACTAGTTTTATCTTGTAGGTAAAATAAATAATGGCTGGTGCAAATGAACAAACAAAATTGGATGAAATTTTACAAATAAAAACAAAAATAATGAAGTTAAATGAAAAAAAAAATCAAATAAAAGATTTATATGACAAGAAGTTCAAGATGAACAATTTAAATGAAAAAATTGATGTCAATGATTTAGATGAAAAGATAAAATTAAAAGAAGATGAAGTGAGTAAAAAGAAATATCAAGATTTATTCCAAGTATTTGTTTTTTGTAGGTGGGAGTTACTGTTTCAATTGAATATCATCACGGAATTTTACATAATCTCGTATTAGCAGAGTTACAAGCAGCAAAAAAAGGTGATAATAAGGATGATATAAAGGCCAAAAAAGCGATTTTTGATGCAGAAAAAGAATCCTGGACACAAGCAGCAGCTGAAGCAACCAAGGCTCAGGAAGAGATGAATGATTTAAAAACCAAAAGAAAAGATTCAGTCTGTGTTTAATTGGTTTCAAGTAATAGAAACACTTGATTATTTTTTTGTTTTAAATTTCTGTTGGATAATTAATATAGGTTGAACATCAATCATCTGAAAATGGTCAACTGAACAACAGAAGAAAAAAAGAAAAAAAATGAAGATTTACATTTTAGTTTTTAAAATAAAATTTAAAAGTTGATTTAACTCTAAATCTCTATATATATATTTCTTTTCTGAAAGAAAGAACTATATGCATATCACAGAAAACTTCTTTAAATAAGTTTGTTTTGGTATTCATCGAAGCGAATCAAAAAAGAATATATACTAGATCAATGAGATTAAACTATTTAACAAATGATGGCAGTATGTACTGAATAGGTGAATAATAATATATCGTGTTCTACGAAATTTAGTACAGATAATCAAATGAATAGAAAGAATCGAATAATAATTATTTTCTTTATTATCGATTTATTAATATTTTTTTAATATGTGCTGGAAAAATTTGCCCATAGATAATCTATGATGCAAACTTCGAATCCATGGTCTTTTTTTATCTAATATTAATATTTAATACTTTGTAATATGTGCTGAAAAAAGTTGACTATAGGTAATCTAGAAGAGAAAATCCAAATTCGAGATGGGTTTTTCTCTATTATTAATTTTAAATTTTTTTTATTTATATTCAATATCTCTTCTAAGTTTCCTTAACAATGGGATCAAAGACAGTCTATTATCGGAAATGCAGTCTAAGGTGAAATATAAGTTGTTTAAATTTTATGTATCAGTCATTAATTTTGTTTAAAATAATTTTGATATTTGCTAAAAAAAATTCACCAATGTTTATAGAAGGTTGAGAATTCAAATCTATCATCGGTTTCTAGTAGATCTAGCTTATAGTAAGAATTATTAATTTGATTAGGTGTCTTTCGGAATTTGACCAAATTCCAATTTTGTCCTTAACATATATTCGCTATTTTGTTTTCGCTATTATTGCATTCGCTATTATACAGATTTGCTGTTTTTTCTTTTCGCTCATTAGCTCTTCGCTATTTTGCACTTTCGCTCATTTTGTTTTTCGCTATTTTGAGTTTCGCGATTTTTTCTTCGCTATTTTGCTTTTCGCTATTTAGCAACGTTACCATTAATTTGATGATAATTCTGGAGAAAACGTGATCATAGATAATCGAAGGTAGAAAATTCGAAGTCGAGGTTGGTTATCAAAGAATTTATTTTTTTTTATGATTGAAACAATTAGCCATATAAAAATATTTGTGCACCTGTTTGTTGAATAGTCAGATAGCAGTACTAGTGCAGTGAAGGATAACTGATTTCTTAATGAGAGAGAATGTTATCTTGCTGATACATAATCATGTTCGATATCTAGATTGATAATTCATAAAAGTGAACTTACAAATGAAGAATTCGGATAGAAAAGACTTGTTTTATTGTTTCAGTCTTTAGATCCTTTGAAAATATTTTGTTAAGAAAAATGGAACAATATGCGTTTCAACAGTATCCTGTGAAACTATGACTTTCAAATAAAAACATCTGAAATTCAATTCTTTTTCAATGCTAAACATTATGTTTTGAAACAGAAGCAAAGATTTCAAATGATTTAAGTTGCGAGTACACCAAAAAACATGATAATGTCAATTTTTTTATCAACTATATATAAATCGTATTATTTATTAGGATAAAAACCATTGATTTGTACATTACAAACACAGGATCAAATAATTGTATCGAACTACCGAATTACTCTTATCTATAAATATGAATAAGAAATATGAGAAGATCTGTTTTGTTTCTATTAAGAAAAAAAAAGCAAGAGTAACAAAAAAATCAAAATATTTCTCATATGTATATGTAATTAAAATAAATATGAAGAGTAAGATACTAATAAACGCTTAATCAATCATTATAAGTTCTGTACTTTGTTATTTGTAAAATAAAATTTT